TCATTTTCCTTGATAATTTAGATCTTTTGTTTTCCAAATATATTTTATTATTATTTCATTAAGTTCTATAAAGTATCCCTTTGATAATTTGATTGGCACATCTTTGAAAGTACAAACTTCGGTACTATTTTAATTTTTTATTATATTGGCAGTGGCCCAGTCACAAGTATTGAATATTCCGCCAGCTGTTTTAGTTGTTCTTTGTTTCTTTAAATAGCACTTTGTAAGTAAATCTGTATGTCTTTTGTGTATTTTGGTAGATTGACCCCAAGATACTTTATGCATTTTGTAGTTATTTGGAGTAGGATTTCTTTTTCTTTTATTGCTTCTTGAATTTTATCTATTACATAGAAATGTAGTCAATTTTTGAAGGTTGATTTGGTAGCCTGAAATTTAGCTGAAGCTCTCAGTTGTTTCAATTAGTATCTTTCTTGATTTCCTAGGATTTTTCCAAGTATACTATCATATTATCTATCAGCCAACAGGGATAGTTTTATCTCTTCTTTACCTGTCTTTATGGGTTTAATTTCTTTCTTTTGGTTTATTGCTATTGCTAGAATTTCCTGAACTATATCAAATAATAGTAGGGAGAGTGGACATCCTTGCTTTACTTCTGTATTTATTGGAAAAGGTTCTAGTGTATCCCCATTTCCTGTGATACTTGCTTTTCGTTTTTGAAGTACGTCTATTACTATACTTTGTAGGGTTTTTTATTTTTATAAAAAATGAGTGTTGTACTTTGTCAAAGGCTTTTTCTGTATTTTATTGAGATAAATATATCAGCAGTCAGTAGTAAACATTAAGTGCCCACCATGTTCCAGGCACTTTATTAATTGCTGGAAATAAAAATATTAAAAAGAAAGATGGTCTCTGACCTCAAGGAGCAAAAAGGAAGCAGGAAAGGGGGTTAGGAGATGCCTGTTGGGACCATCATGGAAAAGTCAAGGAAGTCCAAAACAAGTGCTGCTGGAGAAGTTAAAGCAGTCCAAAATGAGTGCAGCCAGGGGTGGGAAATGAGATGTCTGTCATTTCCCCCCTCCTTAAGTGGAGGAGTTTTGGCTCCCTTACAATCAAGGGGGCAGAAAGCATTGATGAAGTATAAATAACAAGACTGATTCAGCCTTTCAAGATCATAAGATTTCTCATTGATAAGTTTACTGGGGACTTGGTGAAGTCAGAAATCTAAAATGAGTATAACTCAGGTGGGAAATAAGATGTCTGAATAGGTTAATCATGGCTTTGGATGTTTTTGTTTTTAATGTAATTTATTCTATTGATTATTTTCCTGGTGTTGAAGCATTCTTTCATTTCTCATATCACTCCCACTTGGCTATAATGAATTATTCCTTAGATAAATTGCTGTAGTCTGTTTGACAGAATTGTTTAAAAATTTTAATTGGTATTCATTAATGATATTGTCTGTAGTTTTCTTTCTGTGTTTTGTCCTTCCCTGGTTTTTAGTTATTAGGATTGTGTTTATTGCAGAAAATAATTCTTTATAGGATACTTTTTCAATTAAAAAAATGTGTAGTATGGCTACTATTTGTCTTTTAAAATTTTGATAGAATTCTCCTTGTGAATCCATCAGGACTAGCAGAGTTTTTTGTTGTTGTTGTTGTTTTTAGTGCCTTTGCAGCTGTTTAAATTTGCTTTTCTGAGATAGGGTTATTTAAGATCTTTGTTTCATCTTCTGTCAGTTTAGGAATTTTTAGTATTTGAAGATATTCCTCTGTTTCTTTTTTTTTTCCTCTTAATTTTGTTAGCCTAGGGTGTATCTGTGCATAATTTGTTATGATTTATTTCTTCTGATTCTTCTTGTAATTTCATTTTATTTGCTATTCTATTGGATTATATTTTCCGCCCTCTAATTTTTAGTCAAATTGGCTTAACATACATCATTTTATCAGTCTTTTTTAAAGAACCAGATTTTTTTCTCTAATTTTCTTTTTTTTTTAATTTATTTTTAGTTTTCAACATTCACTTCCACAAGATTTTGAATTCTAAATTTTCACTCCATCTTGCCCCTCCCCTCCCAGATGGCATGCATTCTGCCTAGTCTGCCCTCCCTTCTGTCTTTCCCTCCTCCCTTCTCTTATCCTCTTCCCCTTCTATTTTCCTGTAGGGCAGGATATATTTTTGTACCCCATTTTCTATATTTCTTAATTCCCAGTTGCAATTGGAAACATTTATTTTAAATTTAAATTTAAATTTAAATTTAAACAAACATGTGTGTTTAAAACTTTGGGTTCCAAGTTTTCTCCTTTCCTCCCTCCCCACCCACCCTCATTGAAAAGGCACGCAACTCAATACAGGTTATACATGTGCAGTTATGCAAAACACTTCCATAGTAGTCATGTTGTGAAAAACTAACTCTATTTCCCTTAATCCTATCCTGCCCCCCCATTTATTCTATTCTTTCTTTTGATCCTGTACCTCCTCAGAAGTCTTTGTTTCTGATTACCCCCCCTCTCCCAGTCTCCCCTCCCCTCTATCATCTCCCTGCTCTCTTGTCCCCTTTCCCCCCTATTTTCCTATAGGGTAAGATAGATTTCTGTACCCAATTGAGTGTGTGTGTTATTCCCTCCTTAAGCCAAATCCTATGAGAATAAGATTCACTCATTCCCTCTCACCTTTCCCCATTTCCCCTCCACTGTAAGAGACTTTTCTTTTCTGTTTTTTTTGTGAGATAATTTACCCCATTCTACCTCTCCTTTCTCCTTCTGCCAGTATAATCCTCTCTCACCACTTAATTTTATTCTCTAGATATCACCCCTTCATCTTCAGCTTACCATGTGCCCTCTATCCATCTATCTATTTATCTGTATATATACATATAATTTTTTCCCTCCATCTACCCTAATATTGACAAAGGTCTCATGAGTTACAAATATCATCTTTCCATGCAGGAATGTAAGCAATTCAACCTTAATAAGTCTCTTATGATTTCTCTTTCCTGTTTACCTCTTCATGTTCCACTTGAGTTTTGTATTTGAAAGTCATATTTTCTGTTCAACTCTGGTCTTTTCATCAAGAATGCTTGAAAGTCCTCTATTTCACTGAATGACCATTTTTCTCCTTGAAGGATTATTCTCAGTTTTGCTGGGTAGGTGATTCTTGGTTGTAATCCTATCTCCTTTGCCCTCTGGAATATTATATTCCATGCCTTCCAGTCCCTTAGTGTAGAAGCTGCTAAATCTTGTGTTATCCTGATTGTGTTTCCACAGTACTTGAATTGTTTCTTTCTGGCTACTTGCAATATTTTCTCCTTGACCTGGGAACTCTGGAATTGGGCTACAATATTCCTAGGAGTTTTCCTTCGGGGATCTCTTTCAGGAGGAGATCTGTGGATTCTTTCAATTTCTATTTTGCCCTCTGGTTCTAAAATATCAGGGCAGTTTTCCTGGATAATTTCTTCAAAGATAATGTGTAGGCTCTTTTTTTGATCATGGCTTTTAGATGGTCCAAAAATTTTTAAGTTATCTCTCCTGGATCTATTTTCCAGGTCAATTGTTTTTCTATCACGTTATTTTCTAATTTTTCCTTCTTTTGGATTTGTTTTACAGTGTCTTGATTTCTCATAAAGTCACTATCTTCCAATTGCTCTATTCTAATTTTTAAGGAAATATTTTCTTCAGTAAGCTTTTGGACTTCCTTTTCCATTTAGCCAATTTTGCTTTTTAGAGCACTCTTCTCCTCATTGGCTTTTTGGACCTCTTTTGCTATTTGGGTTAGGCTTTTTTTTTAAGGTGTTATTTTCTTTGGTATTTTTTTGGGGTCTCCTTTAGCAAGCTGTTGACTTGTTTTTTCATGATTTTCTTGCATCACTCTCATTTCTCTTCCCAGTTTTTCCTCTACTTCTCTTACTTCTCAATATCCTTTTTGAGCTCTTCCATGGCCTGGGACCAATTCATATTTTTCTTGGAGGCTTTGGATATAGGAACTTTGACTTTGTTGTCTTCTTCTGGTTGTATGTTTTGATCTTATTTGTTACCAAAAAAAGATTCTATGGTCTTACTCTTTTTGCGAGGTTTGTTCATATTTGCAGTCAATTACTTGTCAAGGTAGGGTCTGCTTCCAATGTGGAGAATGTACTGTCCCAAACTTCGGGGGTTTGTACAGCTGTTTTCAGAGATACTTCTAGGGACTTGTAAATTTTCAGTTCTTCCAAGGTGGTATGATAAGGGGCGAGGTGTTTACTCCTTTCCTGGCCTGTGCTCTGGTCTATGAGTGACCACAAGCACTCTTTTCTATCTTAAAACTGTGAGGAGGATTTCTTCTCTACAGCCACTACAAGCTCCACCAATCCAGTGCTCCTTCTCACCCCAGGGCTGCCACCCAGAACTGTGACCCAGATCCAAGCATGGGCAAAGCAAGAGAATCCTGCACTGGCAAAGAGATCCCTACAATCCCCCTCTGATCATCCACTGGATTCCCCTTCAGTCTGTGGGCCTGAAGCTCAGGAAGTAGCCACCGCCTCCGGGCCATGTGCGGGGAATTGGTCTGGGAACTAGCTTCTCTCTTTCACCAGGGTCATAGACTTTTCCCATTGACCTTCTAAGTTATCTTTGGCATTTGTGGGTTGAGAAGTCTGGAAACTGCCACAACTGCCTGTAATTCAGTTCCCTGAGGCCTGCTCCAGGTTCACTGCGGCCTGCGTGCCCAGGTCAAATTGCACTCCTCTCCCAGCTCAATATATCTTTCTGATCAACCATCCAGGTTGTCTTGGGATGGGAATTTGTTTCACTCTGTCTTTGTGTGGGTTCTGCTGCTTTAGAATTTGTTTAGAACCATTTTTAACAGGTATTTGGAGGAGTTTTGGGGAGATATCAAGCAAGTCACTGCTTTCACTCCACCATCTTGTCTCTGCCCTGTTTCTCTAATTTTCAACATGCCCTCCTTTGTGCATATTTTAGGTTTATTTGTTAGCTTTAGAATTTTTTAAACTGCAAATTCAGTTAATTAATCCTCTCTTTTTGTATCTTCTTAATATATATTTATAGGGATATGATTTTTTCCCTGAGGACTTCTTTTGCTGCATCACAGAAATTTTGGTATGTTTCATCATTATCATTTTCTTGCACATAATTATTAATTGTTTCTATGATTTGTTCTTTGACCCAGTTATTATTTGGTATTTTATTGTTGAGTCTGAGTCTCATTTTGGGTCTTTGTCTTTTTTTTTTTAAGTCTCTGAATCAGTTACTATTGTTATGGACTCTAAAGGATGTGTTTACTATTTCTACCTTTTTACATTTGTTTGCAGTGTCTCTGTGGCTGAATACATGGTCAATTTTTGTAAAAGTTCTGTGTGATGCTGAGAAATGCGTATAATCGTTTACAGTCTCATTTAAAAGATGCATAAGCTAATATCTCTAGTTTTTCCAGCAATTTATTTAATTCTGTATTTTCTCTTTAGTTTATTTTTATGTTAGACTTATCCAAAAATGAGAGAGACACACTGAATTCTTCTGGCATTATTGTGTTACTGTCTGTGTATTCTTGTAGCTCCATTACAGTTTCCTTTATAAATTTAGATGCCAAGGTATTTGGAGCATATAAGTTTAATGCTGATAGTGGTTTGCTATCTTTGGCTCCTTTCAGCATAATGTAGATAATGTAGTTTCTTCATTTATCTCTCATCTCAGCCCCCCTTTTTCTGAATATTTATTTTTGCTTTGATTGCATGGTTGCAACTGCAGGCTTTTTGGATTCACTTAATGCATATCAACATTTTTTTTCCAGTCCCTCATTTTTGTTCTATGTATACCTTTATTTTAAAAATGTGTTTCTTGTAGGCAGCAGATTCTTGGGTTTTGTTTTCTTATCCAGACAGTCATTTTTGGAAATTGAATTGTTTAATCCATTCACATTTTCCGATGTGAGAATTAGGTTTATATTTTCATCCATTTATCTCTATTTTTTTTTAAGTAATGATTTCTTTTCTCTTGTATTATCAAAACAGTACTGTGTCTCTTCAGTTTTTTTAGCTTAATCTTTTTCTTTTCTTTTTTCTTTTTTTTTAAAGGCAATTGGGGTTAAGTGACTTGCCCAGGGTCACACAGCTAGTAAGCTAATAACACCCACAAGTGTTTGGTCTGAGGCCAGGTTTGAACTCAGGTCCTTCTGACTTCAGGGCCAAGCTCTATCCACTGTACCACCTACCTGCTCCCCAGTTTAATCTTTTTCAGTGTGACACTATTGATACTGTCCCTTCCCTTTACCCTTGAGCTGTATCCCTTTCCCATTTATTACTCCTTACCCTTTGAAGTTTTGATTATTTGTTTCTTTTATCTGTTATTTAAATATTCTTTTCTTTTTTTTCTCTCTCTCAATTATATAGGATTAACATAGAATTAAGTAGAATTCCCCTTCCTCTGCTTCCCTTCAATTTCTTTTTGTTGGTTAATTTTCAGAATTTCATTTTCTGCATCTTTTTCTTTCCCTTACTCTCCTTATTATTTATCTTCCCTTTCTTTCCATTCTAGAATTATATTCTTTAATTTGTGGCCTTTATACTTACTTAGTTCTTTATTCTTTGTATTCATCATGGAATTAAAACTTTTAATGTGCTTGTTTTGGGTTGCCCTTTATAAACATTTTGCTTCTGCTTTCTTGAGTTGGTCCCCTTTTTCTCTTGTGCCTCACGTTTCAAAAAATACCAGTTCTTGCAGGTGACAGAAAGGATATTGACTTTTGGTAGGATTCTTCCTTTGTCTCTGGCTTACTGACATTTGCCCTCCTCTTAGCCATTTTTTCTCTTCCATTTGCCTCAATCTTCCCTGAGTCCATGCCCTTCTACTCTTCTGCATTGTCAGTTGCTCTCAGGGGCTCTGATTCCCCTTTTCCTGGGGCAGGATGAGTGGTGTGTAGAAGGTACCAAATCCCTGCAGATATAACCATTGAAAGGTCCTTATCTCTTTTTATACAAGATCTTTCTTTACCCACAAGAATATTCATCAGTGGCATCCACCTCACACCATTTGAATAACATTTCTCCTTTTTAATCTCTCCTTTTCCTTTACCCTCTTCCCCAAGAGACTACAGGAGTTATTTTCCCTTTGACTTGATTAAGGCACATCACATACTGTCTGCTATCTTCTTTCCCCCCTTGTTTTTATACACCCTTACATTTTGTAATTTAGTCCCACAAAAAACATTTATGTACTTGTAGATAGGGTATTGTGCAGGCTAGTCTCTGGCCTGTTTCTCTACTCTCACTTGTATTTGATTTCTGCTTTCACCCTTGTCTTTTTGTGTGTATTTCAAAGGATGTCTCTTAATGGCCTTTATTATTATTTTGTTATTGTTGTCCCTGGTTGTTCTATTAGTTTACTCTTCTTGTATTTTCTGTTATTTAGGGCATTTGTGAAGCAAATAATTCTCTTCTTGTCTGGTTTTCTTTCTATTAATTTTTTAAATGCCTCTTTATTTTTGAGGTCCATCTTTTTTTGCATAAGGTTAAACTCAGATTTGCAGAGTAAGTCACCTTGAGCTGCATGTTGAGCTCTATTGCTCTTCAGAATACAGTATTCCATCATCTCCTGGGTTTACTAGATGCTGTAGAAGAATCTTTCGTTACTTAAATTTCCTTTCCTTTTTATTTGAAAGTCTTTCTCCTGGTCTCTTGCAGAATCTGTCATTTCTCAAAATAATTTTAAAATTTAACCATGATATGTCTTAGAGTTTGAAGCCCTGGATTTTTTTTTCTTCTGGAGACAGCCTTCGGATCCTTTTGATTAGCACTTTATTTTTGTGTGCTGAAGTTCTGGACAGTATTTCTTGTGTTTTCTGAATTATGCTGTTCAGGTTTTTTGACTTGTCTTGTTATTTTAGGAGACCTGTAATTCTCAAGTTGTCTTTATGCTTCCTCTCTTTGAGATCAATATATTTTGTTTGTATGAAAAGCATACTTTTTAAATATATTACTGCTTTTTTCTTCTCTTCTTCCTGATTGTTTTTCACTTCCATGTATTTGCCTTCCTAGTGAGTTGTCTTATGTTTATTTTGTGAGAGTGGCATTACAGATTAAAGTTTTTCCATTCTGCCAATTATTTCCATTTTGCAGCACATAAATTCTGCTCTAATAATTCTGATTTCTCTTTTGAACTACTCAGGAACAGCATTCTGTGGCTTCGTGCTCTCCTCAAAATCTACCGGGTCCCCTGCCTCACCAGGTATTCAATCATTTTCTTTTATTTTGCATTTTCTATTTATAGATGCCAGAACTCATTTACTAGAACTAGAGGCCATTATTTCCTTATTCTGTTAATGTTTTCTCTGTTAGTTTATCTTTTTATGTTCAAGGTCATTTTCTTCCTCCTGAGATTTTTTAGTAATTTTAGTCTTTTTTCCCTTATTTTCTCCTGTTTTTCTCTTCCTGAGTCCCTCTCTGATGCTAGTTTCTCTGGAGCCTGGTTCCTGAAGCATCACAACCTCTTCCTGCTCTGGGCAATTCATGGATCAATAGCCTTGATCTCTGCCTCAAGTGACTTCTGGGAGGACAAAGCTGGGCCCAGCTGGATGCTAGGCTCTTTCTCCCTCAAGTTTAGTGGATTGCCTTATAACTTTCCACACATATGTCCTGTCCTCATGCCCTCTGTTCCTCATTTCTCTGGCCCAGTGGCATGGAAAACTGCTACACTGCTACTATTGCAGCCTCAGCAAATTTCTGTCATTTGGAGTTTGTGTCTCTCCAGCCCTGGGAATTGGGTGGGGTCAGGTGTAGAATTGAGCTCTGTTTTCAGTGCAGATTCTGGGCCTGCACTTCTTTCCTCCACTTTGGCGAGGTACAGAAGGTTGTCATGGTATTGGCTATTTTGGCCTCAGCAAGTTTCTGCCATTTAGAGTTGGCATCTCTGAGGCACTGGGAAGAGAGAGGAGGCCTGAGTGGAATTCTGTTGCAAGCCTATACGTTGGGTCAGCTTGTGCTGCCTTGCTAGAAGTGTGGTAGGAGGTGGGGAAGAGGGGTACAGAGCTGAGTGAGTTCAAGGTAGGCATTTGTTCATAAAGGTTTTATCTTTTTTGGGTTCTTGGTATCCTAGATTGTGGAGACTGCTAAAATTGTTTTATCTCCAGCACAGATTTTCTATTTTAGAGAGGCTTGAGAGTTAGTGAGGGTTAGACAAATTGATTCCATCTAATTGCAGCTGAACATTTAAAATAGGCGGTATTTGAATGGGAGAATGGACTTCCAGAATGGGAGAATGATGTGAACAGAAGATAAAATTCTAAAGGTGTGTTTGGGGAACACTTGGAGTATTTAAGTATGAAAATAGTGAGAAGGAAGGTAAAAAATAAGTTAGGAGCAAATTGTAGAGTGCCTTTAATGTCAAGCCTTTAATTACTTTACTGTACTTTAATTTGTAGGTAGTGGATATCCATTTTTGACCTGGGGAGTGACCTGATAGTATATATTCATTTTAAAAATAATTTTATTCATTCATTTTTATAAGTATTTATTATATCTCTTTAGTCCCTCACCCCTACTGAATAATTTTTTTAAATAATGAAAATTTTCATAAAAAATATGTCTGGTTCCTCAAAACAAATTCTCATATTGGCTATGTTCAAAAGTATGTCTCAGTTTGCATTTTAAGTCCTTCACCTCTGGCAGGATGTGGATAACATGTTTCATTTTAATTCGTCTAGAATCATGGCTTATTGTATTGATTATCATTCTGATGTCTTTCAAAATTGTTTTCCTTTATTATGTTATATAAATTATTCTCCTAGTTCTGCTCATTTCATTCTGCTTTTGTTGATAGAAGTCTTCCCAGTTTTTTCTAAAACTGTCCATTTTCTAAATTTTTAATGGCTCCATATTTCATTATATTCATTTCAGTGATTTGTTTAATCAGTTCTCAATAGGAAAGTTCTCTCTTAATTTCCAGGTGGTCGTTGTTGTTGTTGGGTTTTTTTGCTGTAGTAGGCATTCATTTTGTCAAACAGTGATTTTTGCCCCAGTAGTTAGGAAGTTTGGGTTTATCGAGCACTAGGTTACCATGTTCATTTTTTTCCTGTATGTTGTGTACCTACTCTGTTCCACTGATAAGCCTGTCTATTTCTTACCCAGTACCAAATTGTTTTGATGATTACAGCTTTGTAATATACAGTCATTCCTTGACATTCATGGGGATTAGGGGTGTAGGACCCCATGAATGTGAAACCTCTGAATACCTGTAGGCCCCACTCCAAACCTTTATTTTTAACAATTGTGATCATATTTATTTAACACAAAAACAAGTAAAACAATGTATTTCACTCATAAAAAAGTTGCAGTTTCTAAACATTGTGGTAAGAAGTTTGTATAACTTGAAAAGAAAATGAGCCAATATTGTAGCAAGATTAAGGGAGAGTAGTAGCCTGAATACTGTATTTCACTCTACATAATTCATGAAGTTGACCTGAAAAACTTTGAGGAAATATCGCCACAGTCTGTACAGAGGCAAGAAAATTAAAACACCAAATTGGAAATCCTAAAAATCAAAAGAGAGATTAATAAAATTGAAAGTAAGAAAATCATTGAGCTAATAAAGAAAACTTAGGAACTAGCTTTATGGAAAAGCTAATAAAGTAGGTAAACAACTACTTAATTTCATTAAAAAGAAAAGAAAATAAGAAAACCCAATTACCAGTATCAAAAATGAAAAGGGTGAATTCACCACCAATGAGGAGGAAATTAAAGCAATTATTAGGAGCTATTTTGCCAAATTATATGCCAATAAAGCTAGCAGTCTGAGTGAAATGGATGAACGTTTATAAAAATATAAATTGTCCAGATTAACAGAAGAGGAAATAAAATACTTAAATAAATAACCCTATCTTAGAAAAAGAAATTGAACAAGCCATGCATGGGCTCCCTAAGAAAAAATACCAAGAACCAGATAGATTCACAAGTGAATTCTACCAAACATTTGAAGAACAGTTAATTCCAGTATTGTAGGGAGGCAAGCCTGGGAGCTTTAGCCTCACTGAGAATGATGGAGGTGATCAAGGAAAATTGCATGGCCCTCCACTGCCTCTGGATGCCAAACCCAGGTGATCAGACATGGTCCCAGGCTGTGGCTGTGGGCAAAGAGGAGAGAGCATACGCCAAGTGGATGTGGTTGCAGAGGGCTATGGGCACTTGCAGGAGAGTGAAGTCCTTGATTTTAGTTCCAGGGCAGAGGGATGAACTGAAGGAGGGACTGCAGGGAGCAAGTATGTTTGTGGTGACAGCATTCCTGGGGGTCCTGATTTGTGGCTCAGGGGCAGAGAGAAATACCTGAAGTCAGGCCCTCAAATAGAACTCAGAAAACAACAGCACAAAAAACTTGAAGCCTGAGATATTATCCCTCACATCTTGGGACTAGAGCCTGACTTTAACAGAAAAAAATAAGCTGCTAAAAATAATAAAACAAAGATGAGTAAGCAAAAGAGAGAGAACCTAACCATAGATAGCTATTATGGTGATAGAGAAGATCTGAGTTCAAACTTAGACGAAGATAGTGAAGATAAAACAGCTACTTCAACTATGCCCAAAGGGCTACAAAACTTTTCATGCCCTTTGATCCAGCAATACTGCTGCTAGATCTGTATCCAAAGAGATCCCCAAAAAAGGAAAAGAACCTATTTGTACAAAAATATTTATAGCAGCTCTTTTTGTAGTAGCTAAGAATTAGAAACTGAGGGAATGCACATGAATGGCTGAACAAGTTGTGGTATATGATTGTAATGGAATATCATTGTGTTATAAGAAATGACAAGCAGGAGGATTTCAGAAAAAACCTGAGAAGACTTATGAACTGATGCAGAGTGAAGTGAGGAGAAGCAGGAGAACATTGTACACAGTAATAGCAATGTTGTATGATGAAGAACTGTGAATGACTTCTGTTTTCAGAAGTACAATGTTCCAAGATACTCCCAAAGGATGTGATGATGAAAAATGCTGTCCACCTCCAGAGAAAGAACTGATGTTGTCTGAATACAGACTGAAGTATTCTATTTTCACTTTGTGTGTGTGTCTGTCTGTATGTGTTCTTGCACAAATTGATTAATATTTGGAAATGTTTTTATATGATTGCACTTGTATAACATCAGATTGCTTACCCTCTCATAAGGGGGAAGTGAAGGGAAGGAGGTATAGAATTTGGAACTCAAAACTTTTAAAGCAAAGTTAAAAATTGTTTTTATGTGTAATTGGGAGGGAAGCTAAAATATTATTTAAGATAAAATAAAAACTTAGCTACTTCTGTCTCAAAGGAAAAAGCAAAATGGTCACAAGCCCAAAAAAAGTTTTTGAAAGAGCTTAAAAAGGACTTTAAAAATCAAATGAGAGGTTGAGGAAAAGTTAGGAAAATAAAATAAGAATAATGCAAGAAAATCAAGAAAACTGGGGCAGCTAGGTGGTGCAGTGGATCGAGCACTAGCCCTGGAGTCAGAAGGACCTGAGTTCAAATCTGGCCTCAGACACTTGACATTTACTAGCTCTGTGACTCTCAAGTCACTTAACCCCAATTGCGTGGCAAAAAAAATTAAGAAAGTAATGAAAAGAAAGTTGGAAAAAGAGATCCAAAAACTTATGGAAGAAAATAACTCAAAAATTAGAATTGGGTAAAGGGAAGTTAATAACTTCACAGAACACCAAGAAATAATAAGTAATTATATAATTAATGTTTAAATAGTTAAATAATAATTTATTATTTTATATGTATTATATATTAAACAATTATAAATAAATAAGTAGAATGCAAAAAATAGAAGAGAATGTGAAACATCTCATTAGAAAAACAACTTACTTATGGGGCAGCTAGGTGGCGCAGCGGATAGAGCACCGGCCCTGAAGTCAGGAGGACCTGAGTTCAAATCCGGCCTCAGACCAAACACTTGACACTTACTAGCTGTGTGACCCTGGGCAAGTCACTTAACCCCAATTGCCTAAAAGCAAAAAAAAAAAATTTTTTTAAAAAGAAAAGAAAAAGAAAAACAACTTACTTAGAGGACAGATTGAGGAGAGACAATATAAGAATTGTTGGACTACCTGAAAGTTGTGATAAAAAAAAAGTTTAGACAACATACTTCAAGAGCTCAAGAAAAATTGCCCTGAAGTTTTAGAATGAGAGGGTAAAATAGAAATAGAAAGAAATCTGACCACCACTTGAAAAAGATCCCAAAATAACTTACAGAAATATCTTAG